CTCTTCAGATAAGAAAAACATGCATGATTCAAGAATTGCCAAAGATACCTGCAGTTTCTAATTTGGTACCGGAATGAGAAATCCATGAGACATGTTGATGGTAAGCAACTCTATCTAAGGGTTTTTGGAACCTTTCTATCCTCAAAACCACTAGGTAAATCTACCTGGTACTCTAACTCCTTGCAACTCAAAGTGTGGCCTGTGGTCTAGACACATCTGTATCAACTGAGAGGCACCGGTCAAGCTCACAATTTCCGAGTCAGTTTGGAACATAAAACTACACTTACACAATCCATAGCCCTACTTTTAAATCTTCCCTTCTTCAAGACATCCAGGTGCTTTTCAATCAAGAAAAAAGAATCACATGTAATAATCCTTTTCAACGATTAATCAAAGAACTTATATGCATATAGGCATAACCCAATAGTGGGGTGAAGGCCTCAGATGGGGGGTTGGAGTGGGGTGGAAAGGGTCCATGGGGGGAAAATACCTTCAATAATAAAGATAAAATAAATTTAAAAATAAATTAAAACCAAAAAATAAATGTTTAAAAAAATCCTTTTCAGAAACACTTCCATTTTCCCAAGAGAGGGAATATAAAACTCCATATGAATAAGTGTTAAAAAACACATATTTGGTTTAGTGTGTTAGAAAGGAATTCGGGGTTGATTTATGTCAAGTGAAGAATAGTAAGTTACCAACACCTTCACACAGGAATAAGATAATATAAGTGAGCTTTATGAAACTCACCAAACACTGACCCCTCAGGCCCTCTCGGTTGTACAAGGCACCTCTGACGCTCTGAGTTCTCTGGGCAGCCAGCGGCAAGGTGCAGATACCCGGACTGCTCGTGCATGTGTGTGTCCCTGGGGTCATGGGGTTCACTGAAGGCTGCTCAAGCAAGGCTGAGTGTGGATGGAATTCTACTTTACCTGAAAGTCCTGAAAGCCTTCATATTCCCAAAGTAATCACAAAACATAGCACAGGAATGATTGATTGCCTTATGACACCACACACTCAACACCTACAAATCAGAAGAAGGCCCTGTTCTTCTCCTTGGCTAAGTGGTTACATGTCCACACGATCAGAGAAATTACAAAAAGGAAGTCTCACATGGACCAACATTCAGATCAACAGTGGCATTTGCTCACTGTTGAGTCCATGCTGGCTCAACAGGAAGTACAAATGATTTCAAGACATCTTTATATCCTCACCGGAAGAATATTTTAAAAAGAAAAACAACAAAAAACAATGGCAACAACAAAAAACTTCACTTGGAAGAATTCTTTAGCTGGGACACTGGGTTCTACAATCCCACCATTATCTGTTCTTGTGCAGAGCCAGAAAAAATACTGTCACCAATTTAAGAGAATAAGAGTCTTTGTTTCATAATGAATTTGTGCCAAAATAGTAAATATGCTATTGTCTTTTGTTTTTGTTTAGTGAAAGTGGGATATAAAGTCTAGACATGGCAGAAGTGAGGACATGCACATGCCTAATGGGTGGTTTTAATCTCAGTGGGATACAAATTATTTTTTAAGAACTCCGAGTACAGCCCGGGCTCTCAGGCAAAATAATTCTGATTCCTGACATCGACTGTGGAAGCATCTAAAGCAGTGGTTCTCAACCTTCTGGCCCTTTAAATACAGTTCCTCATGTTGTGACCCAACCATAAAATTATTTTCGTTGCTGCTTCATAACTGTAATGTTGCTACTGTTATGAATCGTAATGTAAACATCCGATATGCAGGATGGTCTTAGAGGACCCCTGTGAAAGGGTCGTTCGACCGCCAAAGGGGTCGCGACTCACAGGTTGAGAACTGCTGATCTAAAGGAAAAAGCATACTGGCTTTCATGCTATTTCTTATAATCAGCTAAATAGAGCAAAATGCCTATTCCTAAAAGACAAGAAAGATCTTGCCCCGATACCCAGCACAGAACAGTCACTCTATAAACATGTGGTTCATTTCTCTTTTTATTCCTGTTTACCTCCATCCAGCAAAAGTGTTTTCCCCAAAAAGAGGTGCAACAATGTTCAAAAATACTATTTCAGGGGCCAGGATAAATAACCTTCGCAGAAAAGTTTCAGATGTAGGCTTTTGTTTCCAGAGTTATGGTGGTGCCAAGAGATGACTTATGGGACTTTAGATCCCCAATAATCTTCACCAGTCCCCAGAATGCCATCAAAATAAATAAACTCAAAATAGAGGGAGTCCTATTCCTGTACACATCTAATTTCAAGGTAAGTCCCCTTCCAGCCAGACTGAAACTCTAATGCTGCTGTCATATTGCTATCTGGGTGCTGCCGCTGTCCAAAATCCTCCCAAAATCAAAATGCCATTTATTGTTCCTTATATATTAGAGGAAGCCAAGTCCAGTAGGAAGGCTAAACCTGAGTTTACATGCGAGCTTCAGCTTCCTTACTCATTAATGGGAGTCCTTATTAAAAATGCTAAACCTGAATCTGAAACACTAAACCTGATATCACCCTCATGTAAGTCACTGAGATGGCTCCGAGAACCCGGGGATGCCGATCGCTAGGCCGATATAAGGACTAAGAAAAACAATATCCATGCAACGCCTGGCCGATCTTAGCGCCGCTCGAGCACCCAGTAAATAGCGCCCTGCACCATCTTTCCTTTTTCTTTTCACCGATTCAAAATCACTGACATGATGAGGTCTCCCTCTGTTAAAGTAGAAAAAGAAAAAAATGGCTGAATTACAAAGTCAGAGCTATAATAGCTACTGGGCTGTATTTCGAGGAGGGTTCATACATCCTTGAGCAAAGGGCTTTTCTATTCTACAAGAGATTAGGGGGAATTCGGCATCCTGCACAGAGATCACAGAGTTCTAGGAATTTGTGCCCCCGCTTGCCATCTCAGTGGTGCAGCTGTGTGCAGAGAGTAAACACCTCTGCTGAGCTCTCCTTTCTTTACTGCCCCCCAGCTGAAGAGCTTCTCAGGGAAGAGTAATGTTCCCTACTCTGAGTTGCTATAACAACATAGTTGCCAAAATAGCAGGCACACGGCAGGAGTCCAATAGCTTCTCAGAGATATTGTGCGGCTTCTGCTCCTGGCACACCCTCTGTGGCCTGTTAAGGGTCCTGGCTGAGGCAGCCCGGGGCCATCAGAGTCACATACTAGTTAAGGAGACGGAGAGGGGTTTTGAAAATCGTTGGGCTTCCCACATACATAGAATGCCACTGGCCTGTGCTGCAGATCTTCTGAAAAGTCCCCTCGCTAATGAGGCAGCAAGTGATGCCTTGATACAATTGGCAGAGCTATGTTGCTTCTATTTCATGAACTGAGTTTTTTCCTAAATAGTGAGTAGTTCACAGCAGTAAAAAAAGAATGGTGTCTGGTTTTTAAAAAGTATTAAGCATGTCACCTGGGAGAAAGTAGAAACTAAAACTGCAGATTGAAAGAGAATATACAAATGGACAATGGTCAGACCATGGATGACAACAGAACTCTGACCCCATCCTCTAGAGCAGTGGTTCTCCACCTTCTGGCCCTTTAAATACAGTTCCTCATGTTGTGACCCAACCATAAAATTATTTTTGCTGCTACTTCATAACTGTAATGCTGCTATTGTTATGAATCATAACGTAAATAGCTGATATGCAGGATGGTCTTAGCTGACCCCTGTGAAAGGGTCGCTCAACCGCCAAAGGGGTCGCGACCCACAGGTTGAGAACCACTGATCTAGAGTCCAGGGAGCCAGAACAGAAGCTTGGCAGCAACTGGCCCATGATGGGCAGGACTTGATTAATACTTCTCTATTTTTTTGTCCCTGCGTCCAACTCAGGACCAACCACAGAGAGCTGTATATGCCCCCCCCAACCAGTCACAGGAAGTGTTCTGTTTTTCAATAGCCTACCTCTAGCTTCTGCAGGCCAACAATCACCAATCAGAGCTTACGCAAAGATTTCTCAATTTTTTAACTGAAAACCTTTCCCATGCCTTGACTACTTATGAGTCTCCACCAAAGGCAAGGGATGGAGGCTGGCCCCCTTGTTATTGCAAGCTGAGTAAAACAGCTTCTGTTCTCATTTGGGTGGTTTTTGCTTATTTCCATAAGTGTTGTTTTTGTTATATCTAGTGTACTAACAAGATCATATTTTATGATTTGCAATGTTCAGGACTGAGGCCTCTGGGTAACCCTAAAATCTATCTAAAATATGCCCTCAGCAAATTTCCAGACTCACCAAGCCCATCACCAACCCGTTCTCCTTCCTCCCTTCCCCTTCCACCTCCTAGCTCCACCCATAACAAAGAATTACAGTCAGAGTGGCCAACCGTCCCAGTTTGCCCAGCACTGCCCCATTTTTAGCATGGAAAGCCCTACAAGCCAGAAGTACCCCAGCCCTGGACCCCTCAGCATGCCAAGCTATTGTTCGACTCGGCCTCTGCAGATGAAATTCTCTCTGCCAGGATTCTTCTCTCTCCCCACTGCCAAGTTGTCAATCTGGTGGACTCTTCTCAACCTGCCAAGACCCTGACTAAATGCCCACCTCTAGAGTTAACTTCTTTGACAACAGCCCACCTCCTAGCCCCAAGCAGATGGTCACTCCCTCCTCCATGCCTGCTATGCTACAGCCTGTATATATTTCTCTACATATCACATGGTATAGGGATGATTTGATAATGGCGAGGAGACCCTCTTACATGGTACATCCCCTGCAGGCAGGTGCTGTATTGTCTTCATCTTTGTGTTCCCCTCACTGCCTTCACCACACCAAGTCCATGCTTGTCTGTTTCATGAGTAAATGAATTTATGGGTGAGTAAATGGTTTACCTATTTATTTGTTTAATAGAATTGTTTATTATTGGATTACTGAATATTAACAAATTAATTATTTATCTATGAATTAAATTGATCTTTACAAAAAAAAAAAATGGTCCAAAAGTCCTAGGTTGAGCTGAAATGACAGTACATATATATCGGTGCCTTACCACAACTGTACTCATTAATCCATTTCAATTATTCAGGCTGTTTACCTCAATCTGGGTGGTGTTGTCCTGCCCATCTTCCAGCAGCAGGTCTGTGAAGCCTCGGGGCTCTGGGGAGTCTTGGCCCACGCTCGCTCGGTTCGTGTCCACAGCCTTGAGGGGATCTGTGTTCCTTTTCCACCTGTGGCTGAATGTATGTGTGTCTACTTCTACCTCCTCTTCTGCTTGCGGGAAGGCCTGAGCAACGTGGTGTTGCCAATCTGTTTGAAAGTAAATAAAACAACGAATTACTTACTTGCTATGAATCATACACATGGTATCAACTTCAGTAGGAAAAATATCTGCTAGTCATGAAAATAGAGAACTAATTCATACCAGTGAAATCTGTTTAATGGTAATATTTTGAGTCGGTATGCACGTCTCTGAGTAGAATGCAATTTTGGGACACATCATAAGTCGTGACAGTGGTTAATGTGAAGACCCAGCAGAGTCTCTAAAACAGATGTGCAGCCCTAAAGCAATGCATTTTTATTCCCTTCCCTCCCCACCTTCCATAACACACTCCATAAATATTCCCCGGTTGTTCTGAGAAAACAAGCTACAATCTAGACAAAGGAATGAAAACCAAGTGATTCTCAGTCCATTTGAATATAAAAGTCAGACATTATTAACTTGTGAACTAATATCCATTTCACATGAGTTATGTTGAACAACAGAGGGACAATAATGTGAACGGTTTAAATAATACACGGAATGATCTTCGTGTAAATGTGCTACCCTGCTTTGTAGCTCACAAGTCAGACTTGGCTCACTGCCTAACTCATTTAATAAGCAACGCTCTCAGGAGGCATCACAAATGCTCTTGTTCACTTGTGCTGTTCTTACCTTAGAAACTTGCTGGGGTGGTACAGAATGACAGTGATAGGCACATAGAGAAATGAAATGGAAGGCAAGGGGATCAAATCACAAAGGTATTCTAAAGCTATCTGCAGGGACTGTCCTTGCTGACCCAGCTCATCCTGCCACTACAGGAGGGAAAATTAGATTTAATCATTAGTCCTAGTCTTTCATTTCTGTGGGTCAGCAGGGGAAGGTATACCACAAGTCTGAGAAATCAGTTTCTGACTAGGAAGAACAGTCCTCTTCTACACAACTATTACCAAAAGATATGAAATGACAGCCTTTATAACTGGCAGGATACGGCTTCAAAAAGAGCTTAAGAGAGCAGTGATTTCATCATAGCTGTGAGGTTCCTCTCAATACAAGAACATTCCAAGAAACCAAAATGTGTTTAATGTGGCTTATGATACCATTGACTCAGTTACTCAGAACTCTAATAACTAAGGTAAGGCTACCACTACTCATCACAGGAAAATAGTCTAAAACATCTCCCTTTCAACTCAAAAAAAAGGTGATAATTCTTCTTGACAGAGAGACTATTCTTTGGTTTCATCATGAACTTAAAAGATCTCCTACTGCCTGATGCTTTAGTGGATACAGCTTAGAGAGAAACACTACCACAGGGTCAGCAATCTAGACTTTTCTATGGGCTCATAGAATGATAGGATTTAAAAGAACCATGGAGAATGAAAATGACCAAGAACTCCAGAAATACCACAAAAATGTAGCACTATGTTCAATTCATAGAACTGCTGTAAGACCACAAAAAGCTCATGTACGAAAAGGGTTGATTATGGTCCCCTCCCACCCTCCACTACAAGAAATATTTCCTTTTTTTTAATACTCACTTGAGGATATGATTTTATTTATTTTAGAGAGAAAGGAAGGGGAGGGAGAGAAACATAGATATGAGAGAGAAACATCCATTGGTTGCCTCCAGTATGCACCCTTACGGGGGATTGAATTTGCAGCAAGCTAGGTATGTACTCTGATCAGGAATTGAAACCTCAACCCTTTGGTGCATAGGACAACACTCCAGCCAACTGAGCCACCTAACCAGGGAGGGAAATGTTTGTTTTTAACACTGTTGTTCCCACTAGCCATTGGACTGTGCTCAGTAAATTTTTGTTGAATGAGTGAATAGGCCGATGAATTGTTGACAGTCTCTTTGGAGCAAGAATGACAGGACTAGACAGAATTGTGTAATAGAAGAAATACTGTACAAGGATTCAGGAGACTTTGAGTGGAAATTTTATTGTTAGGTTTGCTGGATATGGGGTTGAGAATAGTTCACAAAACTCCCTGTGCTTTAGTTACCCTATATTGTAAATGGGAATGACACTGTTTTACCTGAAGTAGACAGCTTTTCCTGAGGATGTGTAAGACCTATGATTCTAGGCGAAGATACAGAGAGCAGTTTTATTTGCTTCATTTATATATCCTGCCTCATTACTAAAAATATATGAGGCAGCTTACAACAAAGGTAAGCAATAAGTTTTACAACAACCAAATCAGGACCTCCTAGCACCAGGCTTAGGTTAACCTTAGGGCTGTGCATTTGCCTTGCTCTAGGGGGGTGGGCATCTGAATACAAACAGTCCTGGAGGGACAACTGAAAATCTACACAGGGTCCTGGCTCAATTGTCAACCTAGATAAGCAATGTGGCAAATGCAATGCAGTTAATGGAGTCAAAAGTCCTAGATACAAAGAAATATTTTTTAAAATCACGCAAAAGGAACGGGTCCAACCAGAGGTGTTTTTTGTTTTGTTTTTCCTTCTAGTATAATGTAAATTAGGGAAAATATACCAAAAACTTCAAAGACTTTGATTTTATTAAAATCTTCAAAACAACTCTGAGTTTCTTTTAAATTAGTATTATTGTTGGATATTAATTAACTGATATTGATTTTACCACTATCTTTTCAGATGTTTATAGCACAAGATAAAATATAGTATTTTCCATGATGCCTGTCAGGCCGGTCAGTCACACGAGCTCCTGCAGTTCTGGCCCAGGGCAGGCAGTAGGTGGAATAAGCAGCACGGGAGAGGCTGTGTGCATAGGAATTCCATTTCCCAACTTCCCTGAGCCCCCTTTCTCTTTCTCTCCCTGCTTTCTTACCCAAGAGAAGAAATGAAAGGGCACTTCAAATCTCAGGAACAATAAAGTTCATATTCCCCACTGTTAAGTTAATTAAACAAGGAGGCCATTAGAATGAGGTGGTACTAATACCTTAGCAGCCTGTTACATAGTAAGCAAACCCCAACCTAAGCCTGTAAATGCCTCAGGGTTAAGAAATCAAACCTAAGGGCCATCAGTCACTAACAGCCAACTCTGCTTTTCTGAATCCAGCAAATGCTGAAGCTGTAGCCAATCAAATGGTTTCCTTACTTTGCTTCCACCTTTTCTCCAGAAAAGTCTTTCCCCTAGCTCCTGTCCTTGGCGTGCTCCTAAACCCTTCTGATTTGGTGCTGTCCCTTGGAATTGATTCTTGCTCAGGTGAACTTAAATTTTGTAATATGTCAAACATTATCTTTTAACACCACTTACACTGAAGTTTGGGTTGTTTCATTAATGTGTCAAACTCCTGTTTTTACAGTGACTATTCAAATTTTATTATTAAGATTACTGGGGAAGGTAAATTAACCAACAGGTAGGCCTCCCAGATGAAGCAAGAATCAATGTTAACTCCAGCACTTACAAAGGTAAGTCTCCAGATACCTGTGCAGTTTTGGTGTTGTGTTTTTTTTTTTAGTTTTTCAGCTGTGTTTTAAAATTTTTCTCTCTTGCTTTACCATCACATCAGCTAATACAATCATTGATTGGATTGTCTCCATCATGGATGGGCTTGCTCCTTCTAAAATTTGCTAAATTAAACTGGATAAATTGATAAAAATGGATCACTTACTGCCTCCAATTGTATTTACAAAGACTAAACATAATTAAAGAAGGACCTGAGGGTTTTCTAATGAGAAAATTTTTAATTTTTAGAGCCTGGCCTCCATGAATTTTCCTTTGGTTGCTATTTTAGATATAACTCTTTTTCTCTGGTTATGTGATGAATAAGCAAGACCGCCCAATCATGTACAGAGGATGCACGCCTATATGTTCATTATTCAGTAGCACTTGGTTCATCAAGACTGAAGTATAAAATTGGCTTAGATTTTGGTCCCTTTTCAGAATCATTTTTAACGAAGATAAGACAAGTCAAAAATGGATGTTTTACAGAAATAAAGATGGAGAAAAACTGGCAAAACCACGACCTAGTTATCTACACTGTGAATTATTCCTATACACTTCACAAGTTTTCAAACTCATGAAAATAATTTAAATCACCACCAAAACAAATCATTCAGAAGCAAGATGAACGATGTATGTAATATAATCTTTCCCTTCCCAGCAGCAGTGAAAACAAAAGCAACAGGAGGGATCTTCGAATCATCTGTTTGAACAGATTGTATGCTTTCTGTCCACTGTATGTTAATTAAAATACCGCTGAAACCCTTCAAAGATAATGTTCTCCAACGTATTTTGCTATAGTTGTTAATCATATAACTCAACAAAACATTAAATACTAGAGGCCCAGTGCACAAAAATTTGTGCACTTGTGGGGGAGGGGGTCTCTCAGCCCAGCCTGTGCCCTCTCACAGTCTGGGACTCCCCGCTCCCCGGGGTATTGGGCCTAAGATGGCAATCAGACATCCCTCTGGCAGCCCGGCAGCCCTCAGGGGATGCCCACTTGCCAGTGGGAAGCAGGCTTAAACTGCAGTTGGACATCCTTAGCACTGCTGAGGAGGCGAGAGAGGCTCCCACCACCACCGCTGTACTGGCAGCCATCAGCCTGGCTTGTGGCTGAACAGAGCTCCTCCCATGAGAGAGCGACCTGACCACCAGAGGGCAGCTCCTGCATTGAGCGTCTGTCCCCTGGTGGTCAGTGTGTGTCATAGTGACCAGTCATTCCCAGTCTTTCTGCTGTTAGGGTCAGTTTGCATAGTACCCTTTTACTATATAGGATAGAGGCCTGGTGCATGGGTGGGGGCCGGCTGGTTTGCCCTGAAGGGTGTCCCGGATCAGAGTGGGGGTCCTGCTTGGGTGCCTGGCCAGCCTGGATGAGGGGATGATGGCTGTTTGCAGCTGGTCATACACCCTTCAGGGTGGGGGTCCCCACTGGGGTGCCTGGCCAGTCTGAGTGAGGGGCTGAGGGCCGTTTTCAGGCTGGCAGGTGACTGAAGGTCCCAACCTCTCCTTTTTTTCTTTTTTTTTATTCTGGGATTTATTTACCTTCTATGGCTGTCACTGGAGCTGAGAGCTGGCTTTAGCTCTGAGGCTCGGCTCCAGCTCTGAGACCTCGGCTGCTGAAA